AAAGGACTTTTTAAAATCGGGCCCTTTTTGAGGAAAAGATACCAGACCTCTTTTATGTTTAAATGAATAACCACAGACTCTACTGTCAAAATAGATGAAGTCCAGCAAATTTCAGCGCTGGTGAATCTTATTACTTCAATGGAGATGAACAGAGAAGCGACACTTCGGCATTTCATCCCTACATCTCCATTCGAGTATGAAGGCACCCACAACATCAGCTGCAGAAAACGTCGGGAATGGTACATATTTTAAACCCAAGCTAAATTCTTTGCCCATTTGACTGCGTGCTTGGGAGTTGTAGCGCCTTGGCAGTGGAAGTCACATCCAATTCAATTTAGTCATACAGTAATTGTAGGATCTGCTAGTACTGATATCCGACAACTCAAGGAGAGGGATTCAAACAGAGGGGAATACCAGTGAAAGGCTTCACTCGACTTGGTGCTTAACACCCGTTGAAACGAGATGATAGGACTTAGGAAACCATCAGCTACCTCATATGGATTATTCATAAAGAAAATACTTAGCAACTTGACTATATAGTTGGAAACTTTATTTCCTCATTCACAGAGAAAAATGACGTTAGGACGCAGTTGCTAAAGTTGAGGCAAACCCTCGTTCTGCTGTAATCAAAGTCATCAAAGTGCATATAGGGCATTTTAAGTCAGGAACATGGGTTACACGTTCTTTCAGTTGTGATCCTGCCAGAGAGTCACAAAAGCTGATTCTACTGTAGCGCGAACCACGGTTTTCAACACATGCGGTCGATGGGTTCGCATTTTGCGTCGTGTGCATTCAGCCGCCTACACGCGCACATAAACCGCCTTGGGGGAGGGTCGTGTCAGTTCACCTGACATCACCGCTCCCATCAGACGTCGCCCTGTGTCAGCTGCCTTGGTTACTATAGCTTTACCAACGCCCAATGTCCAGGATCTGCATCACATGTCTGACCATCATGCCCATAGCAAAGGTTGAAAGAACGCCCATTTCGTACGCATACACAGGCTAATGCGCCTTCACAACTTAAGTCGATGCGTGTAACGTGGCAGCACTCTCATCACATTTTTGAATTACGATAGCTAGCAATGCAAGACTACCCTGACGCTATTAAAAGGCTCTGAGATGAAACCGATGCATACGATAGATGCTGACCTCTGACACGTGAGGCATCCATGGTCTGCAAACATTTCATTATGCTGTTTTCTTGGTAGTGAACTTGTCTACGAAGTACCATCGATGCAAAGATATTGGTATGATATCCATTTTGCTAAAGTAGTTGCTGAGATCATGAAACTAGCATGCATTTAATGGTAATACAAAGGCCCTCGTTATATTGATGATTTCTAAGGAATCTGTCACTAAAGTGACACACTGATGGGACAGATAAGCTGCTTCGAACACCATCTACATTTCACTACTAAAAGAAAAAAAGGAAGAGCACATGTTTGTGGGTATCCGTATCTCATGGAGACATGCTGGCTACCAGAGGCTGAAGAAGAAATGTCCCAGAGGTTGAGAGAACAGATTTCACACAGCAGTTCTGCTTCGAGGGTTAGAGCAGTACACCGAACCGGGCAATTCGCACCACACATGACCTAAGTTAGCCGACCAGCAAATCACCAACTCAAACATGTATTTGAATAGCAAAATTGATTGGAATTTCGCAAAAGGGTTCGAGATTACATAAGGAGGCGAGTATAGTTACTGCTGCAGTGGTACAACGAGTAAAAATGGGCAATCGATGCACGCTTTTGCAGAACAGTGGCGCATAAAATCAGGCCAAACGTCAGAACAATGAACCCAGAAACAATTTACAAAGGATGGGGTGTAACCACTTGGAGGAAATATTTGTTTTTCCGAACATACGATCAGATCAGAAACAATTCGAGAACGGCGGACCTAAAAGTACTAGATATCAAATAAAAGCAGAGGAAAAAAGAGAAAAGTACATATGTAAAACGAAATTAGCATCAGTAAAGGTGACATTTGGTAGTAGAATGCACAAAATGGAACTCAAGGCCTGTAATTGCTCTGCAAACGTTTCCCTTGGAAATGACCACAATTAACATTTACCGCTCAAAACGCTTCTCGAGGTAGACAACACTGAATTGCAAGTTTTTGGGACCATTTAGAAGATGTAAGACAATAATTGAGACGATTATGACATTATTTAACATTTTGAACACTTTCTTCCGAACTCAATGAGTCAGTTTTATCATTCCCGCATGCGTGAATGTAGAATGTGAATAAGATAAAGTCATCTAAGCAGTTGAACCATGGAAATCCGAGTCAGGACCTGAGAGATCAGCTTGCCACAAAAATGAAAACTGAACCTGCCTCTTCTTCTGTGCAATGCTGCATAAAGGAATTCGTGCTTAAAGTTGTCCACTATAAGCAGTTGTACGTAATAGCATTTTCGAACTGCCGAAGCCCACAGATCTAAGGGAATCAGACAGGCAAAAAGCAATTTGTCGAAAACCTACGGTTGTTGAAATCCGGCTTTTACGCATACCGAATGGCAAACCCCACAGACAGCGCTAAGTTTTATGGCTACCATTAGATAATAACGCGATAAATTCTTGCTTTGGTTTTCACCGCTAGATAGAGCAAAAGAACCCGAAAAACATGGGTTGCAATAAATACGTGCATTCTTTGCCCTAAACATTTACAAAATATTTTAATAATTTTGTAAAACTTACGTTCTCTAAGTATTTTCAGCGTAAAATGTTTTCAAACAACCATTGTGCAAACGTAAGAGACACCCCTATGATTCGAACTTTCATTGTAACAGGGTTGTTGTTGTCTGCCGTGTAGGGTAAGGTGACGAGATGACATTGGAACGATCCATGTTAAATGGTAGATGACTATCATTCACAAATAGATATGTAATTTTAGGAATTATGGCTACCTTGATGCAGAGACAGCGAAGCGAAACAACAAAACAGTAACTTGAGAGAACAGTCGGACCAAAGTAAAGTAATAGCTTGGGTGCGATCTTACTTTACACTAATTTGAATGATGACAAGAGCACAGTCCAGCCATTTATTTTTTAATTCGTCAGCGAAGTTTATGCTGCTACCAAGGCATCACACAACTCTAGCGTAATAAACGCGGTTTCGAAAGTGAAGCCGCGGCTAACACAGGTAGCCAATCAAAAAACCACCTTCGAGCAGTATCAAGGTCGTCCCAACAACAGCCTAATTTATTATGTCTGGAGTGTGGATTTTAGCCCAATCAACCAGATACCACTTTCTACCCTGGTAGAGGCACCCGAGTGGAAGATGTCGAGATTGTCACAGAATTTCAGTTTTATGGATAATTATTTTCCCCAAAATGCGAGGGTGTGAACTATTGGTCTTTACGTCGTAGTTTTTCGTTTGAGTTGTAATTAAAGAAAAAAATTGCAGACGTAATCAGCGATACTCACATAGTTAGCAGTTCACCAATGTTTACAGAAATGCAACAGAATGTGTGAGCGTCGGAATGCACATGCACACAAGTGACAGAAGATAAACACCATGTTATGGGCTTTATCGACTTGCTTGCTTGTTTGTTTTCCGCCTCTTACCATATGAATTGGTTGCAAACTAAGCCCACTCATCTACAAGCTCTTGAAGACTGAACAAAATCATCCTCAATGATTTAACACTGTCGAAAAGTGAAATGGAGAGACATAACTCATTATCAACTACCATCATGGGTGATTCTGGTTTTAGAGAAATCATTGTACATCAGCCTCGCCAACCTTTTCACAGCTCTCTAGATCTATTGCATACTTGGAGGAAGTTCCATGTGTTCGATAAAGGTAAACATGACCCTCAGTGTCAATAAGGTTGTGAAAGAAATTGAACGTTTAAGAATTCACTAAATTAAGACAGTGCGACGAAAACGCCATCACGAAGAGTGCACAAATTATGCAGAGAGGAAAAAGGAGACAATTGGTAACTGGGTTCGCTGAGTGACTTGAGCTACGATGTCGCAAAAATATGATGTTAGCAAGGATCTTTCAGAAATATTTGTGAGACAATAGGGTCGGCGAAGCACATCTACCATCCGAATACACTGTGCGTGCAAAAGTGATTGTGAATATTGCATTGATTGTGTACGTCTGACGGTGAATTGCATGTGAATTCAGTCACGTGAATCCTGTGAATGTTACTTCGTGGCCTGTTTACGGGCTAGCGTTGCCGTTCAGGCGTTTAGTAGGACATCATGCGAGCCACCTAGTTCAAACAAAAACGGCTGGAAAATCCCTAAATTTCAACGTAAAACTATAAACTGCAACGCGATTGAACGAATGGGTTCAATCGTTGCAGAATCTCCTCGATATAAACTGCATTGTGATGCATAAAATGAACTCTTTATTAGTATACACGTACATTAAGGTGGCCTTTAAAATGATCGTAATATGTGATACTAGGTGGTGCATCGCCTGTACATACGCCCCTGAGGCTTCTCTGAAGGCCAAAGAAATCATCATATTTGGGTGAAATTCACTCACCTAATGCATAATGTCTTAGGGCTTATAAAGCGGCTGGAAGGCCAGACCAACTATCCAAGGTACGAAAGCCAAGAGAAACAAACAAAGAACGTATTATAAACACATTGATAGCAGTTTTTGTAGAACAATATCTAAATTGCTACTTATGACCAGCTGCTACGCATCCGTCGAGGGCATCTGGAACTCCGAGCGACAACTTAAAAAGCTGTAAATGTTTCCGTTTTGAATGTTTACTAAGAGACGTTGCCGAAAATCATTTTGCAGTTAACACAAGCATGCGTACACTCAATGGGAAAAAAACAGATAAAAGCGGAGGAAAAATTTTCCACCGGAAATGAATTAAAGAAACTACAATAGAAGCAACCCAAACAGCGAACGATGAGATATTGACAAAAAATAACACTTAAATCAACGATTTGGAAGGGCCTGCTTATGTATCGATTATTAGCAATCGATTCATCAATGAATGAGGTGAATGTTTTGCTTTTGCAGAAGCAAGGTGATGACAAACCCAGTGCAGGTGGCAGATTGCGCTGGTGAAAAAGAGACTGGACTTCAATTTAGTGAACCTACTGAATGTAAAACTACCTCTGAAGGAATTGCCATTTCCGATCTTAGCAAGCGGCCCTATTTGTCGGTAAGTGCATTGCTCCCAAGCCCCACGGAGTGGCACGAACGTTGGCATGTTCGAAATCGAAAACGATTTCGAATTCTGCGCCTCTTATGGTTCACTTTTGCCGCTGTTAATCTGAGCCACCTAATTATCTTACTTGGGTCTCTCATTTACAATCTCTACGTGAACTGGTGGGTGGAGGTCCACAAACTTCCCATGACAGACGAGCATCATGGCGACGGTCTTCTTTATTATGAAACCAGCTGTGTTGCCATATACCCTGAGCACACAGGTCAGGGAGACTGGTACCTATTAGACTTCCTTCCCTATGCTGCCTTACCAAATAAAAGAGCTGTTTTTGCGATGCCTGTACAGATTACCACCTTTCAGGAGTGCTATAATGCATTTTGGCTCGGTGTGCACCCGTCAAAACGCCAATTTGTCAATGGACAGTTGCGGTTTCTAGGCAAAAGGGCTGACTTGAGCTGCCTTCAGTTGGGTCGAAGCGAGGTTAATGAGACGGCCACAGTTGCTAATTGTCTAACAGTGAGTTTCCACTTCCGCGTGGGCAGTGCAACCAACTTTACCGGATTAAAGCAATGGGGATCAATCTCTGACCCAAAACCCATAGTGGCCTACATTGGAGGTCGGGGCCTGCTTTATCATCGACCGCAAATCATTCCTCTGAGCATAGCGGAAGAGTTAGACGTGCTCTATGTTGTGATTCGGTATCGTTTGGGAGTGTTTGGCTTTGGAGATTTTGGAACCCCTAACTATGGTCCGAATCACGGTGTGGAGGATGTGCGAAAGGCTTTGCAGTGGCTTTATGAGAACGCTAGACTATTTGGAGGCTCGCCAAACACTATGACTGTCATTGGCGAGGACTCCGGTGCATCAATCGCCCTGGCTGTGTCGGGAGACAGATACATTTCTGAAGGGAACACGAATTCAACGCAAGTTTCGATAATATTTAAAAGTTCTTTCGAAACATGCAATAAAAGTGATTAAATATCAATTAAGATGGTTGTAGAAAATCAAGAATTCTTCACGAAGGCATCATTGTGTCTACTTATACAACGCTCTGCCACATGGTCAACCGCCAAGTACATAACTTACGTGAATTCATTCATCATCCCTTAAAACACGCGACCTTCATATGAATTAACGAAGTTTTGAGTAAGATGAACAACTTTTCATCACACTCGCTAGTGGAGGAAGAAAACTTACGTTGCTCATAAACACCTTTGACACCTCTTGCAATTTCACAAACATAAAATTAAGTGAAGACAAAAAATAATTTAATTTTCCCAATTTAGGCAACTGTAGACCAGTATTATAAACTCAGGCTTCATTGAGAAAGAGAAGAAAATTGAAGTTAGCAGTTGGGACATGGTCTGACCAAGCAGCCGGTTTGATTGGTAAGGCCGACCTAACCAATGGCTGGACAGTCATGCGGCCGGTGTTAGTTCCCACCGCAGGCCAGAGTGCTGCCGGAAAGCTCGTGCTGCACCACAACTGTGAAGGTTGCACATGGGAGCCAACATTGATTCTCCCAAAATGCTATTATTTACCGTTGTGCTTTATACCAAAATAGGGAGGAATTCTCATGGAGTTCATACCACGAATTTAGCAATTTCACACAGGCTGGAAAGTTCTTCAGAGTATTTTCACAGTTAAAAGAATAGCGACTGCTTGTCAAAACAGAATAGGAGGGAAAGGTGACATTAAGAAGACTTTCTCCCGATGAACTGAGTCTAAGCAGTTATTAGGTTTCCCAAAAACTACGATGTTATTATGCGGGAGAATGTTCATGTGTTATTGGGGAATTTCGCCTTGATTTTTTGCACTCAGCCCATCTAGATGGGAAGGAGTATTTGTTTTCCATTCGGAGCATAGCAGAACACACAAATAGATCTGGTGAGCATTGAACAAACTCATACATACACTCACTTTTAATGGCAAGCATAGAGTTTGCCTAGATAACACAAAGTCGAGATCGTGAAAATCGACTCAAAGTCATATTAGTGATGTCTCTGTCCCATTTTTAGCAAAAAAAAAACCTACACGTAACTTCTACCACTACTTTTGCATCCCAAATCACAACAAAGTTCCAGTGATTACGTTAAAGCCATGAGGCAAGACGTCTGAAAAGTTGCCTTTGATTGATGAAAGTCTTGGTAACTTAAGTTGTGGCCTGATAGTGAAGAGACTGTAATGCCAGTTTAAGCGAAATGCCTCAAATTTTTCGTTTCCTTTCATCCTAGATTTGTGAAAAAAACTAGGCAAAATAAGATCCCACCAATTCATCTCACAATGAAATGATGGAACTGGAGGATGGCAAAAATACAAGTTGTTTCATGCTTACTTTTGCACTTAAAGTAGCGCTCACTTTTTAGGCAGCCATATTTGATTTCAAAACTATGGCTACATGATGGTGGACTGATAGTGCCAGAGATTCCATCAGAAAAACGTCCTTTTCACTCCCTTGTTCTGAGTGACATCGAACTACTCGCAGCATGTCGACGTTGGCAAAGCGAAAACGAGGGCTTGAGTAGTGGAGGCGGAAGTTCGACATTAGCAAACAGGATTAGGTGTCTGGAGGAGAGCGTAAGCGAGACAACCTGGTTGGAAAGGACCCCCGGAGTGTGGCTCCACGCCGATGAAAGGATGACCATGTTGCCACACAAAGCAGAAGAGGAGGAACTGATGGCCTCTCTCCTTTTAGCCGACCCTCAGGTCTCGCGAGTCGTCTCACCCCTTAAGTTGTTGACGACGCGAGACTTGCCCCTCGTGTGGCTATCCTCCCTTTACCACCCATACCCACCACCACCCAAAGCTCTCTCTCTCAAGGACTTTAAAAATATGATAAAAAGCACCTTCTCCAAATTTAGTTCAGTTAATACCAGACGAAAATATGACGAGGAACTCCTCTCAGCTTACGGGCCGATGCTAAAAGCAGCCCAGAAGAACACTTCAAAGACACCCTATTCACAGATTGTCAACGCGATAATAACCGACTTACGAGCAGTATGTGGAGTGGATCTCTATCTACGTCGCCTTATGCGAATGTCAATGATCCAACAAAGTCCCATCTATCGAATTTTGAGCGAAGCAGAGCCAACGACATTGGAGGAGAAAACGGTGGGTCGACCTTACAGCATGCCTCCCTTTCTGGTTGGGCAGCGACAGACAGATCAACGGCCAGACTATCCGTCGGAGTTCCTGCGCAGAGCATTTGCCACCTTTTTGCAAAAGGGTAGAGTGGAGAGCATGAAGGAGCTGCACTACCCGAGGAACATCAACGACCCCGACCTGGAGACCACTTTCAACATCCTAGGCCCGGTGGGACTCACTACCGCCAGTGCCCGTGTGATAGCCCACTTTGCCGCCTGCAAAGCATGGATCAGCGAGAAGGATGAAACCGAGTTTGCAATCAAATATGGGCGCTTGAATTGACATTTCCTTACTAATTTTTGCCTCGATGAGTAATAAGAAATGGGAAGTACATTAAGGAGTGCGAGTATATGGAATGAAGTCTTCTAGAGCTGTCTATAATGAGAGAGCAGACAATGAACGCGCCATTCAGACTTACATTCCCAGAAGAGAATGCAACAATTAGTGATAATTAGTTTACCGGGTTCCGAAGAAATGTACTTTTACCATCATGCAAACTTAAATGCACTTATCCAAATAGGAGATTAAGCAGTCTTTGCAAGATAATATGCATTTACTCAACGAGAGCCGCTATCCTAGCTTAAATGGTTTAATGTAAGAACAGAAGGATAAAAAGGGCTTGAGAACCAAAATATTGAGACAGAGCATCACATCAAAGCGAACCTTCCGAGAGCGTTTTTTACCTAGACAGATCTGTTTAAAACAATGGTGTATTAGTGACTCTTCATTGCAGTTTATGATTTCCTACGTGTGTGTACGCATGTTATTTGAGAGATCCATTTGGCACTCGTCATTAGCTTTCGGTGTGAAAGGAATTTACACTCCACAGTACGCACTAAGATGGCGCATCAGCACCGGTTGCCATTCCCATCAAAGAAAGGTTGTTTATTTTCCCACAACAGTTTGTTATTTCAAACATGATGAAGGTAACAACGAATTGAGAAAAGTAATGCCAAATCACTTTGTATCAAACTACTCCTAATGAGCTTCGCCCCGCATTTTGAGATTGAAAAAGGAGTGGAATTTTGATGGATCGCTAATGATTTTTGTGCTCCTCAAATGGGTTTTGTATATCGACTAAAGCTAGTCGTAGGATTCGATTATATTAGTGATAACATTAGCATTATATTAGGGAATAGTATTAATACTTCCGCAGACAAGGCGAGGAAGTACGCTTAATAAAAATAAACTAATGTAGGTACAAGTTCAATTGCAGTAGATCTAACAGTAAGGTCAACACAAAGCCACAATGGGTGTTGCGACTATACATGCGTCAAGGAAATAGAAGAGGAAGACATCAAGACCAAGAACAAGAGTAAGTGAATGTAAACAATCAAACCAGTCTTAATATCGCAAATAGATGAGAGCTCCATCGGAGAGTTCATAATCGCTCACTAAGGCTTCATCGCTGAGAAGTTTCTGTTGATAGAAGAGACCCATTTTGGCTCTGGGAACACCAACCTCCCTTTCCAGACGTCGTTTGAGTGAACCAATCTTTGTGCTTCCACGGACATGACAAGCGAGAGTCTGACCACTCTTGGACTGAACAATAATGCGAATTTTTGGCTCATTGCTCTCCTCCTCCGATGAGTACCAGAAGCATGAGTTCTCTGCCACGTGAGCCTCTGACAACAGACACACCGATTCACCATGTGAAATATCGTACTGCGCAAAGGTTTTGGCAGGATCAAGCGACTTTCCGTCGCGTACAAACAACATAGAATTAGAGGGAATATGAAGAACCCGGGCCAGCTTGCCACGTACTTCCCCCAGCGGAGTGCTGGGATGTACTCTCAAAGCGATGGGCGAGCCAGTCTTAGCCAGAAAGATGACAGTTATTAGATTTTTCAGATCTTCTTCCTCATCTTCCCTGTCAGTTTCGTCTATACTGTTAGCATTGACAGCCAATTCACATTTTTGGTGAAGACGGCAAGAAGACATGGGCTCAGGCATTATTTGAGTGTGTCTGGTGTGTGTGGAGTCTCGAAGCTCCAGACTTGATCCAGAGCGCAATTCGTGCGCCAGCAGAATAGTGGAACCGCTAGTAATGTCGTATTCTATCAGTTTGCGTCCGTCTTCAAGCACCCAATGATCGTAGATTAGTTCTGCGGAGGTCAATTTAAGACCAATCTTTTTTTCAATGAGTTTCTTGAGTTCACCAATGGTATTCTCTCCAGATACATCAAGAATCAATTTCTTTCTGGTTGGCAGCAAGATGGTAACCTCGAAATCAGGCTTGAATCCAAGACGGAGGAAAAGAAGAACAATACAATTGTCGAAGAGTCCATATTCCGATAGGAGTTTGTTGTCCTCTAGAATAAGTCCGTTGAAGGTAAGATTCTGCTCGGCAATGGGAATCTTCAATTGCCGCTGGATGGCTTTTTTGAGGGCCAAAACTGTGACATTATCGGACACGCGGACTATCTGGCGTTCTCTTCCAGTCCGACAGACTTTGATGAGCATTTCCAAGTGTACAACTACAGCGAGACCTATAAGTATAATCGGTATTTGCTGCGCAAGTTCGCTACGTCGCCAAATTCCCTTATTGGTAGACCGAGAGTGATTGATTTAGATACGCACGCGAAGCGAAAAGTTTGACACGTCAATGTGCCGAAGGTGACTGTACTTTGCTGCGTGCGCACGCACCTGCGTTTCTGCGTTTTTTGCGTGTGTGCGCGGTGTGAAAGCGTGAGCTAATGTGAGCACTCACAGCATTTCAGTTAAAGCTTTGTGCAAATTGAGGAGCACGAGACACGTTTGATGCAGTCTGCTTGCAGTGGCCACTCTTCCAGCCTAATCGAGACTGTTAAACAATAGGTCTATATACATGGGTGTGTACTTTATCAAATGTTGTGACAAAAAGCTTCGTAGCCGTGGCTCCAAAACTTCACAAAATGAGACAATGACCGACATTGCTTTGATCACTAGAGCTGGATTAAAACGATGCGGGCTGACAATCTTCGGAAGTGTGATAATTTGGATTTGCCTTGCCATAAAATCTCATCCACCTCAGAAGCACGAACTGGGTGGGTGTGAGCACAGCGACAGCGTAACTGCAACAGTCCACCCGTTTGGAGTAGTTTTCACTTCGAAACAGCCAATCAGTAACAATAGCCTCTTGAGTGTTCTCATACATGATTTCTCCTATCTGAGTTTACTACGAACTTACACAACCTTAACTTTCGAGAATGGGCAGTTTTTTACCAGTTGCGAAACATGGATGCCACCATCGTTTGAATGCTAACTTCAAGTTGCACGTACAACCAGGACAGCAGTTGGACAGTTTCAGTCGTCAAGCGATGCAGGAGATAGCATTGAACAGTGAATACAAGTCGTTTTAAAGTTAAAAAATTCTACAGAGTTTTAGCAAAGTTGAGTTGCTGAGAGGGATGTGGACAAGCCATCAAGGATGTCCATGCTTAGAGTCAGCCACAGAAAAATTGCAATAAATGTGTTGAAATATTAACTTGAAATTAGGGATGCAACAAGCCTGCTCGGTCTGATAAAAGAAGGTTCATATGAGCACGGATTGGAGGTGCATAAATTGACAACCTAAAATGATCGTTCAAGATGGAGTGAAATTCCCATCCACCATACCTGTCATTTCAAAAAGGATTCGACAACTCGACATTCCATTCAGAAACGTTTGAATCAGACCTTTCCTTCCTTTAAAGCAACAATTAACACTGACCATTTTTGCATTTTATGGCAAATTAACCTCAATTCACAGTAAATTTTGCCTGATTAGCCACCAGCTATAGAACATTGAATGCTACTCAGATGTACACGACGGAAGGTGTTATTGAATAGCATCGAGGGAGTTTTTGAAAATAACTCACGAGATGTTGCAAAATCTCAAAAAGGAAGTCAGTCCACCGACACTGGAGGACATACAAAGTAGTCCATTTCACCTAAATTGTATTCGACTGGTTTAAATTTTGGAGAACCAATCCGCTTTGTCAGCCACCGCCAAGCAGGCGTGAAGAGAGCATAGAGACTGAGGAGCAGATGGGGCACGCGTGACCGACTATCGATTTTCCGCTTGAATTAGTATCCCAGATTTGGCTTCGCACAGAGCACAGACGGTTGGGTGGCCGTCCCTACACTTTTGCCCTCAAACAGCTTCAGAAGATGCTCTTGAACGTGGTCTACGACTGCAAGGATTTTTGCAGCGTCAATGTTGACGATCGTGGAACAGTAGAGGATTTGAAGTGCGCCATTTTGCAAGCACAAAACGTGTCGATCGAGGAGCAGACACTCACTTTTGGCGGAACCACTCTCGAAAACGAACGCTGTCTCAGCGAGTATGGTCTTGGCAGCTGCTGTACGGTAAACCTCACACTGCCCATCACCTTTCACCCCAAGATCCAGATTTACGTAAAGACACCATGCAACGAGTGCTTCCCCCTGATAGTCACCACGCAGGACACGGTGTGTGAGGTGAAACAGCAATTCTCCTGCTGCTGTCCAGTTAAGTACAACGCGCCTGAGTTTGTGTTTGAATCATGGCTCATGGAGGACGAGCGCCAGCTCTGCGGTTACGGTGTTGAGGAAGGCTCCATGCTGAACCTCGTGGATCGCCTACCTCCAGGCGCCGGCATGCCACCAATTAAGGTGTATATAAAGTCACCCAGCGATCAGGTGAACGAATTCGAGTTTCCCCAAACCATGACAGTGAGGATGGTGAAAGAGGCGGTCTCTAAGTGCCTCTGCCTCCGTCCGGGCTCATTCAGCCTCGTCTACAAGGGATGCCCACTGGCCGAGAATGCTACCCTCTACGAGTCCTGCATTAATCACGGCGCTGTCATTTGCGTTGTCAAGTCTAACCGTTGCTAACTTTCGTTTTTTGGATACTTTTTCCGCTTGGTCAATAAACATAACTTTTATTTGGAAATGTTTCGCCTTCTACACCAATAGCAATCAGACCCAGAAGTGGGAAGTGACCATTTCACGGGCGACTATATAACTAGTAGGCTTTGCAACACTAATGAGCAATCGGACTTTGAGACTGTTTTAATGCTTTATGATGAAGACACGCTTTTAAAATATAAGGTACTCAAAAAACATTAGCTGTGTGAATCAATACAGTTGCCTGTGTGTGCCAGTTGAGTGCTTTGATAGAGTCTCAAAACCTACCAGAGAATCGCAATTTTATGTCAGTGCATGAGCTTCTTTGGCAAGAAGAAAAGGGGAGCGACTTAGAGATGGTACTTATGTCTATGGCATTACTTGGGACGTTAAACACAGCACAACAGAGTCCGATTGGCATCGTACAATCGATAACTACCACACCTTTAACAATGTGAATAAAGAACAAGTTAATGAGTTAAAACGACCTTTGTAATCTTTCCAAAACGCATGGAATACACGTCCTGAGTAAGAGTGTTCCATGCAAAATAAGAAAATAGCTGGGTAAATCGAGATCAAATGACCAAAAAGTGATACATACTCTCCTTGTACGTAATGGGACCGATTCATCAAGCACTGAACAATACAACTTAAGAAGTTATTCCTTAAATGACTATCAAAGTCAGCAATTACCGAGCCCTACCGATGGATAACGATAGCGTATTCAAATTAAATCCATTCTAAAATAAGCACGACACGATGCAGAGTTAAATTTCCTGCTTAAAGTACCATCATAAAATTGACTAACAGTCTAAAGTTGAAGGATGTGAGAAAATAATGGCAGCATATCCTGGCCTTGAAGGACCTCTAGACTGTAGATTTGGAAACATGACGTCTCCAACTGATGTTGCGTCAGAATTACCCATCGACAGCTAGAAAAGCTTTTGATGTGTAGCCGTCAGACGCTACTACAGTAAAAAGGAAATTGAAGATAAGCAGATATCTTGTGAAAAGAGGAGTCATACGAATACTTTAAAAATAAGCGGTCTTGAGAGCAAACAGTAATAACCGCATCGCCAGACCTACATTGTAATGAAGCCAAGACATGATCTTACTCCAGATTCTACTGCCCACATGGCTAATAAATAGAGCCAACAATTATAAAAACGACAAAAAACGCGTAAAGACGAGAACTTCACGCGGTTTAAAGCCCATGAGAATCTTATTTTTGAGCGATTTTTGAGACCTGATTCGTCAGGTGACGCTACCTTAAACTGGTAATTAATTTTCAAACCATAAAGAACGACTATTCCTACAAAACATGCAGAATGCTTAGCCTACAGGTCATTACCGAAAGCTATGGTGCGGCTATCGCCGCGTAGACATACCAGCAACCCGCCGCAGTGGCTAAGAAGGGGGAAATAATAAGCGATTCATTCAATAAAAAGGGCTTGACTGAAACATACAGACCAGGCAATCAATCTTCCTCCAACAAAACTCGTCTGGCGAACCCGTAGTCAACTAAGAGACGATAACTTTTCCCGTAGGATGCGGCTTCCCGTAGGAGAACGGCACATACCGGTGTGTAATCATGTGCTGAAAACGAGTGAAAATCGAACCTACTCGGTATAATAAGTAGCGAACGCATACTACTACGTGAGATATCGACTTACGAACAGGACAGCAGTACCGAGAAAAAGCTACTGGTAAAGGAGTATAGAAGAGTGCAAGCACCTAATTAGCAATGTTCGAATTGAATCAAATTTAAAAGTCTCAACTCTTGTGGCAGCGAATTAGCGGAGCAAAGAGTCATAGAAAGCTAGAATCTGACCAAAACATTTAAAGGCGACTGTTATATAAAGCAGAAGCTGAAATAGTAAGATGCGTGGAGTACAATGGATGAGGAGTACCTCAAAAAAGACAACAAAACCATGTACTTTTCACAATTAGTACCGCGCTTCTAAAGTGGCCTCTGGGAAGTCCAGACATAAACCAATATGCAAAGGCAAACGCACGAATATAAGTAAAAAGGAAAAGCATACCTTTATCTGCCTTTTCATCATAACGGTGAAAAGAAGGATGAAATACACCACGAGAATTGGCCAGAAGACCGGAATATCGAGAAAAGGAAAGAAGGTGCACAGAAGACTTATGGTTATTGCTCGTGTGGCATAGTACCTAGGAGCAAATATTCATTTAAAGTGTATGTAGTGAATGCTCATGCTTCAACTGTGCCCTATTTTACGAATTTTAGGCAAAAAGCAAAGGTCAACGGAGCATGAGTCACATTATGGCACACAAAGACTGAATTACCAAAACTTCGCCTCCAATAATCGTGGAATAAAGGGCCGAAATTCATCGGCCTCCGTTCTTGGAAGTGTCGGTGTTTCATCTAAAGTAATGCAATTACCTTAGCTACTGTACCAAGCATATCCGCAAATTCTGGATCCACTTGTGGCGATATAGAATGTATGAATAGACTCAGAATGTATATGGCAAGAGCATAACTAATAATATGGAACCCCTTATAATTAGGAAACCAAAGTCCAGATACCTGGATGGAGTAAATCCGGAAGGCATATAGTGCAAAGAATGCAAAGGTGATGCACCACCTGGTCTTGGTATAAGGATTTAGCCTATCAATGGCAGATTGATATTTCTATAACGTAGCGATAAAAAAGAGTTTACTAGTCGTATTGGTTTGATAAAGCTTTCGAATCTAGATTCCTCATTTTCTCGTGGAACTTCACCCAACAAGTCCATCGTCTACCGCTCACCCAGACAGGCCAATAGGTTTCAAGTTTAGCGGTCCGAACATCATGGACATCATTCAACAGTTCAATCTAAATTTACAGTCAAAAGTAAAGAAACCTTGATAGCAATAGATATTCAAATAATTGCAATATATTCAGTTCAGCGAAAGTTAAATTAGTTTGTATGGGTCGCGCTGTGACCATGATAGAATTGTGAGACTATCGAATGGCTTAATTGCTCGAACCAATGGAATTTGTAGCAGAAAATCACACGTTGTCTGTTAGCCTCCTCGATCATGTCGGATGCTTTTGCAGCTTTGTCAATTTTCCTGACAAATAAGTACTTTGGGGACAACGCTGTGACAGTCGTTCGTTGTCTTCAAATTCATGGTCCCCTAACGCAGAGAACGGTGGGTCGCTTACTTGCTGGGCGCCTATCGTACGCTGGGGTAAATAGCGATTAACTTTTATATCTATGAGGTTGCTTCTTGCATTTCAACGCTTTTACGTCATGGTTTGCTTAAAGTAAACCAGGGTGATTCGATCAAGTACGATCTGGATTTCCAAGGGGTGACAAGACTTGCAAGGTAAACGTTTTACTTGATGGTATTTTTAGGATACCAATATTATGTAAAGTCAGCTTCCTCTTCTTTGGAGCTGTGGCCGAAAATCTACTTCTGATTTTATTCCTGTCAGGAATGGCAAAAGCTTCTGAGGCCTTGCGTGCCACTCTTCTTCGTGTGTCCAAAGGTATTAAGGCACAATTTTTGGACTAGCAAGTGCTGAAGGTGATAAGTACAAAGAAGTTGAGGTCTTAGTGGAGTGTTTGGACGCGCTAGTTAGCTCAGGTGTCGTCGGAGCTTCCACAAAGCCAACGCTCATGCAGTCATCTGAAGATCGGGCTCAGTACGAGCGGTATTCATTGGCAAAATCTGATTTGATCGGTGCGTTCTTTGTTTGATACCAACATTTAACCAAAACTTCTTTGGAGTTTGCCTCATTACTAAATGTATGAGCTTTTCAAAATTCGGCCCTATTCTGCCTTTTTGATTTCTAGTTGATTTTACTCCTTTTGTTGTGGCCGTCTATTGTGTCCATTTACATATACTTTGATTTGTAACAATTTTGTAGAAAACCTACGCAAATTTGTTGCAAGCGGGGCCACGTACAAGAATTTTCACCGCTTTCTACCCGTAAGCTGCTTGTTTAAACCTCCTTTGCTATAACCGGTTTTCTTTCATATTTGGACTTTATTCAGACCCCGAAACAGTCATTTGAGTGGGATCTTATTTTGACGCCTCGTGTCGATTCATTGGAGGCTCTTTGGCGTGATTACCTGATTTCTCGCCTTGCTGTTGAAAGAATAGACGAGGTGAGAAGGGCTATCCTGACATGGTTAATAGTGGTGCTTGAGCACAACTACCGACTGAAATTTTGTTTCATTTTTTCGACAGACAGCTGGTGATATAATGTCGCGAATTTTGCAAGTTGCATTCGCCTACAAAGAGCATGCTCACGTGACGTCTTTCTCCTCTGAGGCTGTTGACCATTTACAAGTTATTTTTACGGACTTTTTGTCTCCTCGTTGTAGTGACTCATTTTCCTGCACATTTTAGAACTGTCTTCTGCTTTCCTCTTCATGGTGCTTACTTTAGTTCTATTCTAGGTAGTTCAAAGCTTCAGCGATCCTCCGAACCACCTTGATTCTTACTTAACTCTTCTTCTAGACGATCCAGTGAGAATTTTTGGCACGACTGTTATATATTTTAATTGCTTCCCATATTTGATGGTTCGTTTTGCCATTTAGTTGTCTCTTTTGGAGCAAAAACCCGGAATAGCGGGCGGACTATACATATGCCGTATCCTTCCCAAAATTTTGAGGCTGCAATGCCATCGTCGTCTCACTTCATTAATTTCGCTATTTTTCCTTGACTACCATTTCCAAAATAGCCTACAAGAAGGTTGTTAGAAGCATTCTGGTCTGCCATATTGAAAACGTCGTGCAGGTTCTGTAAGTTCTGCCATGTCTGGCTGCTGTTACCAAGACTTTTTTATTGCAGCTTCGAAAACCCAGGTCTTCGAATTTTTCGCATTCTTCTGACCGAAGGCTATCTCCCATATGAAAGCGTATGATCGTCCCATTTTCCATTTTGCTACTGATTCGACAAAAATTCCTATGTTTTTCATTGCTGTAGTTGGAAAGACGTCTTTTGATCCCTCAAAAGGAATTTCGCCAAACTCTTCCTCAAATGGTTGCAAGTCGGTTCGTTTCGACTACTGTAAGTGTTGCCTTATCTGTAGGCGTATACAATTCTTCGTTATTGTCTTCATGTTTTTTTTCCAGGCTCCTTTATTCGTTGTCAGCTATTTTAGCAACAATGCATGGAATTGATTTCCTCTTTCACTTTCCTTACTACGAAAATATTTAGTTTGGTCAATTTCCTGGATATTCGAGGTTCGATAGCTGTACAAATGTCCCGATTAGTTTCATCTGATATGGCGCCGAATTGCCTGAGTGGATTCGACGGTGCCACAAATCTTTCTGTACTTTTTCCACAGGAATTTTCTCGAGCAAAAGACTTCAATGCGGATACTGTGGTCTGCCTGTATAGTGTAAATCTCTCTGCACTGGCGCGGCTAACGATCGAATACGCGCAGCACTGCATCCTTTGCTTGGCCACCCGCTCGGATGCTGAACTGAACGCAAAAAGGTGCGCTATTGAAAAGTCTACATTATGATTCCAGAAGTTTGGCACATTGGTGCACCGAACTGCTTTCGTAGATCCTTGGAAAACAAGGAATTGGTGTTTTTATTTCCAAACCTGGGATTTTTTGCTTTTTAGTGAGTAAATTTATACCAGCACCTTAGTACTTCTAAGATAGCCTAACTTTCGTTATGCAGCGAAATTAACATCTTGATTATCTGCTTCGCTTTTTTGGTCATTAGGAACTAGGCTTTGATCCTCTCAATACGGTGTTAGCATAGAGATATGGGGTGGTAATGACTTGAATTGTCAATTGCTAAAATGTGCTTTCATTATTTCGTATAGTCGTTTGGTAGATCAACGTTACCGTGTGGAGACTATGGTCAGCAGGCATCAAGAGGAAATCACCAAATTGGAGGGGGGAGGAGAGGTGAGCGAGGGAGCCAAGGTGGAAATTGATTGTCACAAGGAAAGTGTGCAGGCCCTACGGAACAGTCTCACGCCGGCTGAGCTAAATCAACTCTCCACTCTTTCCAACCGCCTTGCGAAGTGAGTTGAACTTTTCTTAGGTTTAGACAATTTTTTTTTGTGTTACAGTCCCCATCTTTGTTTAGACTTGCAGCCGCGCAGTGGGAGGCCGAGACGGCGTGGTTCGTAGCAGATCTCTACCTTCGACTTTATTTTGATGCGGAAGAATAGTTTTTTGTACCAATCGAAGTAGTCTTTTTGACGCACATCGGCGCTACGATTAGTTCTGCTTGTGTAAATTTCGACGACGGTGCCATTGCAGTGATCGTGATTGGATGTGCTTAAACGCCATATTAGTGTTAAAGTTGCTAGTCGTGTAGTGGCAACACCCTCGCACCGATGCAGCTGGAACGTTAAATCTTGGACGAAATTCTTCCATTTGTGCGAACTTTAACGATATTGTCGCTATTTGGTTTCTATAGTCGACAAGATTTCTCGAGAATGAAGTCCAACTGTGAGGAGCTTGAAAAACAGCTCATCTGTGGATGCTGAATGTTCCTGAAAGGAAAGTCTAGTTTCACACAACAAATGACCCTTGTCGACCGCCGACCGAAAACCTATGACTTAAACATTCTTCCGTGAGGCATGAAATGGGGTAGTCAAGATCTCTGGAGCCTTGGTTAAGAGATTCTATTTCTAATTTTGATTTGGTAATAAGATCGTCAAGAGTACACGTAACTCGGTGTATGCCCTCAAGAAAATGACTGGGAGAAACTAGCAGTTCCACTGGTGTTTTGTTACAGAAGTATTTAAAAAAATGCAAAAACTCCAATGCGTGTATGGGGTACATTTGGTGGGTACATATCTTAATAAAAAGGGGAGATAGCATGTGATAAATTGTGCAGATAAGGTGTGGCACTTTTTTAAACTGCCATCCTGAGTGAGAAGGTGCATTGGGGGGAGGATGATGCTCTTCATACATAGTAATTGAAGGATGGAACCACCGAGAGATAGGCATCGAGTTCCGCTTCTGAGAAATTGCCTCGATCCCAGTAGTGGCTATGGGAGTAGGATGTAAGAGTATCGGCCACCGACTTGGCGATAGGCTGGGGATCGTGCGCGTGCTCCGCTACCTCAGTGATCACGCTAGGAAGGTAGTCGGGCGTGTCATGCACTCGAGCCTTTATGAAAGCACAGAGACCCAGCACTCCTGCGTGCCGACGGCGCAGTGATCGTCGCCCTTCCTCTGCGTCTTTTTTGTCACTTTGTGAGCCCAAATTCACCCGCGACTCCCTCACTAAGTGGCGAAACCACTGTTCCTCATACTACAGCCGAAACGCTCCAGTCAGATCTAACTCACATCGTGCATGCTGTGCAAACCTGTGCTGATCGGTGACTCACCTTAAAGATACCAAGTTGCAGGATGAAGGCGATAGTTTCGCAGGCTTCGCGAGCAACCTCAACCCAGGGGTCAGTGAGAGCCTCATCAAGATAGCCCTTCAGGCGCGTACGAAGATCTTTGCTGCGTTCATCAGATCGCCAGAAGGAACAAATGTTAAAGACAACTAAACGTCGCATCAACTTAAGGCCGCATATACGGGTCTTCCAGGAACTGTGAAGCAAGAAGATTCCCACAAAGTCCAGCATATGGCTAGCTTGAGTTAGAGACAATTCTACACACGTATGACCCATTAGGACGTTTCTATAGAAAGAAAAGAGCGCAGTGGCTATGCGCTTGTTGAGCTCATCTTTGCTATTTTCGTTTCCAGTCGACCTGTTAGCAGTCCAGAAAAAATCACTGCTCGACACGATGTCTGCAAGGAGGGGAGCAATAAGGAGAAAGACAACATCACGGGACGAATTCACCGAACCTGGGGTAGGGTTCACAGGGAAAGCACCGTTGATAACACTCGAAAGAATTGAGAATAATGTGCTCAAGCGTGCTTCAATCTGTTGCGAAACCAGCCACTTCATCCTGGGGGAACAATTCAACAGCTCCTGTGAAAAGAGGTCTTAAAATAGAAGTGTTGCGAAAATTAACCAGTGAAGAAAATTCAAACAACAAACCAGTGTGACAGGAGTGAGTTTTACGACAGCATCCTCCAAAAGGTCATTTTGTAGAGCGAAACTCTTTTTTGAAGGTACAACCCCCTTGAGGACCAAGACAGCCAATGAGTCGCGCACAAGTAATGGAAGAAACTAAAGAGCAGAGAGGAAATTGTGACGACCTAAAGCAAAGTGTTTGCAATACCGTTAATCCAAGCAATCCAAATTACTTAACAGCTTTGGCAACTTAAATGGAAGGCGAGTCTAAATTTAAGCAAATTTTTCCACGGAGAAAGTTTATGCAAATAGTAGGGCTCTCACACGCCTCATGACGAACTTCGGTCCGATAACGGCGCTGGTGAGCAGTTCAGTAGCGGCAAGAGTGGCGAGAGGCTGAATCAGTTTAGACTCCAAGGGAGAGGAAACAAGATGCTCAAAGGCCTGAGGGAGGTCGGTTACAGGGGTTGCAGGGTAGAGGCGCAGAGTAGGCGGCGCTTCAGCGAGGGTAGCGTCGAAATGTGCAGAGACAAGAACCCCTACAGTGGCAATGGCAAGTTCGCGAGTCCACAAGGAGACGCTACAGGCACGGGTCTCCCATGCATCATCTTCTGCTGCATGAACGTGCTTCAAAAGATGCAACGCATCCCACTGTAATGTCTGCATCAGTAGAGGCGACACTTGGTGCATCAAGGCGCGACGCTGATCTAGGAGCGGAAACAGGCGCCGCCCCATGCACACAGGGCATTCACCGTACCCAGCAGGAACACGATGGTCACATTGCTCTGATGGATCCTCCCCATTATTACTAACCTGGGAATAGAAACACTGACTCCTATTTTTGGAACAGTTCTGATGCCGGCAACCCTCACCCATCCTCATAAAAAATAATGAAAGAGAAAACTCAGTGCATATAACCTAATGTCATCCATTTTGGGTTTAAATCATAACAATTGGTCCTAGCAGTTACCTCAGATGAAGTAGATAGTCTTTGCTCCTTTTCATTGGCAGTCGAAGCGAGTTCACGAAAGAATCTCCAAATATATGGCAGGTAAATAAAGTGCTGGAGGCGGTGAATTGCATAGTTCTTCAGGAAGACCATAATAGGGAAGGGAAGACGAATCTTAGGACCTGCACAGTCAATATTTTGCTCTGAAATCATGAAGTCACCAATATTTTGGTCATTCATGCCATGACCATGATTCCAAGTCTCAGAGAGTATCCTATACGCTTGACGATCATTCACTACGGTATCGCGGGCACGAATTTCGTTCTGTGGTGTTGTACCAGAAGTAAATAAAAAAGATCCACCTAAAACAGTACAGACGTAGACTTATGACTGTTCGTTGAACAGGAAAGCATCCGAGTTGTGGTGAGTATAAAGGGAAGGGGGTGCATACCGACGGCGCTTAAAGCTGTGCCAAGAGTGACAAAGGTGATGCCATGGAGAGCCTCGTGGATGGGCTGAGTGGAAGCTAGCTGCGAGGCTGCCTCAATCGACACCAAAAGGCGAGGTACAACGCGAGCAAAGAGAGCTAGTCGAGCCTCACGAGGCCAGTCGATCGAGCCTGCCACAAGTGCCTGTAGGGCACGGGTAGCCAAGGTAGGGCCTACAAACTCAACCACGCCATTCATCTGCTCCGAAAGCGCTGGCTGAATCAATGACATGATGAAATCCTCCAGACGTTGTAAGAAAGGTCGAGGGCCAAATGCTGCAGCTAACGTAGAGACGAGGGTCCAGACGTTTTCCTCCATTTTTGCATCAGCACAGTGATGGAAGGAGAGGAATTGGTGGCTTAATTGGGACCAGAACTCGCGCTTCGCAACGTGATTAGCAACTGCTATGAGACCTGAGCGCAATTCATACACGTCGTCCGGGGATAGGAGCGAATAGTCCATCTCTGATCGCGGTTTCAGCCACTCGTCAGTATCACTAGACGTTGCCAACTCACTCTCGTCAGGGCCCGAGAAGGTAGGATAGATTGGGGTATAGAGAGGATCCACCCAAGTCTTTGGAGATTCAAAATAACTGCAATTTAAAAAAAAAACCATAGCCTCGTTTGTGAGGAAAAGCATAAGGATGAGGTTCTGTTGGAAGACCTTATTAAATGTAGTTTGGTTCGGAACTATATGCTCTGCCATACTTCCTATCTCACGGTTCAATTACTACAACCTTTAAAGCCAGGTAAAACATGACCCATGAGGGCAAATTCGATAAGCTCTACATGAAGTCGAAAAGTCACCAAAACCAATGGGAATTGGTGTCATTACATCTTTTGGTGAAGAAACTCACAAGAATGGCTGACTGAGATTGTAAGTGTGATTAGCGCGTGTGAAGTTGGCCTCGGAGGAGAGGCATTCGAAGTAAGGTTCGAGCATAAGGCCAGGAACGCTGCTGTTACAGGGGTCTGGCAAATCTGTCGCGCTGGGATCGACAAGGATGTGGACAGAGGGGTGCGAGCGCAGCAGAAAGAGTTGGAGGTAGCATGCAATAAAATCGGATGCAGCAAAGGCGAGGCTAGTGTGTTGGGAGGTGAGAAAGTCCAGCACCTTACCCACCAAAACTGTGGAAGGTGGTGGTGGCGGTGGTGCAGTGAGCCTGAACTCGGCGCCTCCCGACTCTTTTGATAGGGCTGCCTCCCATACCGCGTTGTCTGAAGAGTCGCACATGAAGGGATAGCAAGAAAGGATTCGCACTAGTGTCGCGTAATTGGCTGTGGTGTCTGCGTCCTTTAGGCACTCGACGTAAAGCTCATTTGTGAGGAATCTGTAGGCTTCCCGACGAAGAGCCATGGTGCGAACTAACAAAAACGGATTTTTCTTCACGACATCTGCTTCTGATCCACCCAAGTCCCTGAAGAGGCTCAAAGCAGTCGTTATAAGATGATACAGAGGCGAATTTTTTGGATGGGCGTTTAATTCGAAGGAAGCAGGAAAGTAAAGCGGGAAGTAGTGGTTCCGTAAAGAATTAAAAGATGCCTTAAGAATGTGACAAATTTCTTCCTGATCATTATAACGCTCTGTCAGTTGGAACTGCGAGAGTCCTGGTAGCGTCAACGAGTCCGAGGTGGAGCAAGAATTTATGGTAGGAAAAAGTGTCGACTTGGCAGACAGCACCCAGACCTCTGCCCAAAGCCGGGGATTTATTAGACTCATTTCCCACATGAAGTGAACGTCTCCGAGAAGCTCATTCAGAATGAAAACTGCCCTTTTTCTGCGATACTTCTGAACCCGATAGACTGAATCCTCACTACTGAGAAAGGTGGAGCCACATCGTTTTTTGAGCGTATCAATGATTAGGCGTGCAACCAAGCAGACTGCCTGAAAGGTAAACAAAGTAGCCCGATTTAACGGTTAAAATGAGGAAGTTACGAGGTCGAAAATAAACGTGTGTATAAAAAACCAAGTACTAACCCCGGGAATGCAGAAACCAGCGAGTGTTTTGAAGACCTTCAGGGCTAGCTTAAAGGTGCCCTTATTGTTGGAGGTGAGGCCGATGCGAGCACATACCTCGATGAGACGCAGGGATTGTGAATCAGCGGGAAGTCGACAGTACGTAAACAGTGCAGTGACTTCGGAGCCTGGCCAGACGGAAGCGGACTGCAGGGCATGGGATACAAAGTTTGTATGTTGTTTGAGCGCACACACGAGCCAGGCTAGGGGTAAATAGCTCAAGCCGAGGCAGCCACCCCCACCACACCGTAATGAGGGTGCCTCGCCATCCGAATAAGCCGTCAATAGCGTCCTTGAAGCGCCGTAAATTCCACAGATTTTGTGCAGTTTGAGAGGCAAAATAGAAGATCCACCAAATACAACTTCGTTGCGACTACAAATGTTGGTTTCAAGGAGGGAGAAAATGCAGGTGCCCAGAGGTTCCCATGACTTCAAAGAACCATTAGTACAAGCTGTGAGAACGACATCCACAATACCTTCAAGGCTTTCCTTGCAATAAAGACTGCCAATTACACTTTGGCCACTCGATCGAACTAAAATAGAAATCGCAAAGAAATTCACGACTATCATGAAATGTAGGCACTAAAGGTGAGTGCTACATTTATCAAAACAATGCCGCGATAGGAAAGTAAACCCGCTTAATATTAACAGATTGAGGGGTCCGTCAAACTAACCTGATGAATTCACAAAATTCGCATCAATTTTGGTGGAGAGTTTGGCAAAAACGTCCAGAAACTCCAAGCCAACGCGGAAAATTTGTTCCCGTAGACAAAATCCATCCAACTCGGAGGGCACATCAAAAAAGGGAATGTTGAGTTTGAAGTCGACGCAAGCGCCATTCAGTGGCGAGCTCAATATGTCCGCCTGAGTTACCTCTAACTCAGTGCACACCTTTTTCACGTACTCAGTATCAGCGTGGGCTATGATTCTTGGTTTAAGACCCTCAAACATTCCTGCAGAAATGTTCTTCATCCAGGTAGTTAGGCTGATTAGAAACACTCGCTGCAATGAGGTGCCTAATTGACCCGAAGTACAAGGCAATTGAGGCAAGTTCTTCTGACTTTCCTCACCTGTCGCCGTTACTTCATCTGTAACGTAAGTACGTAGCTCTTGGGTGACAGCAGAAACCTTAGTGAGAGTTGGTAGAAACACCGCACGAACGACCCGCTCGGCTACAGCAAAGGACTCAAGCGTGGGACAGTTCCAATGAGAGAGACCCATCATTTCGCGCCATCCAACATACGGCGTCCACAGGGGATCGCCGAGATAGGCTGATTGGGTAGGTGGACAATGCGCACCCGAGTTGAAGATGTCTACGTTGTCGAAGTTGAGAGAAAACGTTATAAGACGAAAAATTAGCACACTGGCACACTCCGAGGCGGCCTGAGCAAGCTCAGTAGACGGTGAAAATCCGCCATCTGCGCCGATGGAGACGGTGAAGAGGCGAGAGAGAATGTTAATTGTGGGATTAATGAATTCATTTTGAATCGCGGCCAAATGAGAGGGCACAAGGGCGCACAAATAGGCTGGTAAAACACCAAGCAACGTCAGGAAACGTGGCTCTACCTTCGATGAATGTGTAAGACCGTTGTCTGAGAAAGAAAAGTCAGATATGATTAATGAGTAGTAGCTTGAAAGATCTGATGACTGAAGATGTAGCGTTGCTTACCACTGTCGAGTTCTTCAAAGAGATGAAAAAAGCGCGGCCAAAATTGACGCAGAGCGAAGAGCGCGATGTTAGACTCAGGAAACTGTTCATCTTCATTAGCAACGAGGACGCTTCTGCGACCACTGATGAGCCAGAAGAGCATAGCACTGAGAAGACGAGTGTTGGCGGTGTTCCAGTGGTTCTGAAAGATTGCGTCGGTAAGAATCTTGACGAGACGAATGCGGAGACGTGGAGTAGGTGAGGCAGAAATGGCGAGAGAGACTCCAAGACTGGCAAGTGAGCGAGACAAGTTCCATGCACGCCTAGTCTTCTGTACGGTCTCGTTAGCAGCCACATGAAAATGTGGAGTCTCGTTTTCAATCGCCATAATATGCAACACTTGAGAGTATATCTGTACAACGAGATCCTCCACACCCATAGTCGACCTCGCCACCTCTCTTGCCTCGAAGCACTGTTGCATCACATGTCGCAGATTCTGCTCCTTATCCTCCTTTCCCTTTCCTTCTGCTAGCATTCTATTCGATAGGATTGATGAGTAATCAACTGAAAAATCTTGCATTGGTACTGTCAGAACTATAAACAGTAATAACGGTAGAAGTTATGTTAACTAATTATTCAAGAACGATGAATACGAACGAAGCAAAAAGAGCTCACAGAGGGTATTGAGAACTAAGGTACTATAGCGGAGACGATCACGGTGGTTTGGGTCGAGAGTGGTGAGGCAAGAGCGCAAAATGCGCTGCACTAAACTTCGTCCCTCGGGATATGACATGGCATGGAGATGTGAATTGATGTATTTCCTCAATTCAGGGGTCTGCATCCTTGGAGTCTGTGGAAGGCAGGAGGACAAAAATAGCTAAAAATGCTCAACAGAAGAATGTGGTGAGGAGTTTGTGGAAGAGGTAAACTACCTCGATGGCGTAGTTATGAGGCTGGTCACAGGGCTGACAGCCGATATTTATGGCTTCGGGACAATTTTCAGAGAAGTCGCAGGCAGTGAGGAAGACTATAGCATTAGCAAGGGCCATTAGCGGTCGTGAAATGCGCAATGGAAGCTGTGGTGAGAGGAAGCCAGCCTCCAAATTCTCTAGGAGGCGCGGAAAGAGGAGACGCGGTCGCAGAGCTGCGAGGCTTAGGATGGAATGCATAGCTTCTTCCAGACCATTGCCAGTGAAGTTAGTGTAGATATTGGCATCCAAGCAAATGGGTAGTAGGATGTTCACAAAATCATCCACCTGCTCCCGTGTCAGTTTCACCTTCAACCAGTGAAGTGGCAACCACGTTAAAGGAAGCGAGTGTTCAAGTATTTATAGAGGAGTCTGTTTTTACTATTCCCACAGGACACAAGACTGCATAAAACTAACTTCAACGATCAGAAAGTTTTGGCGCAATATGAAAAGCATTGAAGTGTCCCAACAATCCAAATATGGACTCCTTGTTCAATAAAGGAGATCAAGCTAATGCTAGACCCCAATATTCAGAAACGGCTCATGAAAATGAAGGGTATTTTCATGAGTGTCTTCTAGATGCCTTGGGAAAATCACATGCGAGAAATA